GGTGTATTGTAGCATTAATTCTCATTACTAAGCTTAAACATATTATATAGTGAACGAAAACTAGAACATACGTTAAGATGTCTGATTTGAGCCTCTTTTCCACGGGTCTCCAATTCGAACGCCACAATTTTCGACTTCATCTGACGGCGCTCATCGTCGCGTAGCTTGAGTGCTTCTTCCTGTGAACGAAGAAGTTGTTTGGCGGATGCCAATTTTGCTTCAGCACTTCGTTTCTCTATAATTTTCAAACAATTTTCAAACATTTGTGTGTTCTCTATCATATTTCTGCAAATTTCAAACAAACTTCTTCATGCTCATATTGATCTCAAATTGACCCTCAATTGAACCTTAAGGCTTTCGTTTCTCAACAAAACACGATCAGTTTAAATCTACGAATCATTCGGAACATTCGGAAAGGATTCCTGTGACTTTTTCGGAACGGATAGGGTATCCAAGGCTTTCCTGTTACCATGCGACAAGTCTTCAGTATTATGATGAGATGTTTCAAATTGCTTTGCTTCAAGTTATGCGCTTATAATCTGGACAAGAGCTACTGCGCTAATCGTAAGCGTGAGGCTTAGCAAAGGCTGTTAAACATTTGTGAATCCTCTAGTATGTCAGAAAATTGAATCTGAGTGATTTTTATGGGATAGTCATACCGTCTTGTGCATCAGTAATGCGGTCCTCAACAGATTTGTAGAGTGTTTCGTGCGTGGTCACAGCATACGTATCGCCGGTCTTTTGCTTCATGCGACCCAACGAGTCACGATATTCATTCTGGAAATATTTATCCATAACTATTCAATCGGATTTCACAAAACTCCCTAAATCTCACTAGCGACATTCAGGTAGACTTGTTAGAGAGCGGCCACCAAACGTTGCTCTGCATTTTAGAGACGGGACTAAAACTGGAATGTAAGCGGAATATATCAGACTCTAGTAGCTGCTGGTCTGATCGAGCTGGATTTCCTAACAAGCCTCAAAAATTCCCTGGCTCCTAGTAAGTTTCATGATCGATTGGCTTAATATTCAGCCTCTTCAGATGAAATTAGTCATTGTGGTTGCTTTTTATGGTCGTCTCCATTCTAAATGATTTAGGAGTTTTACGAGTTATCTCTGATTGTCAAAATTTGGTTTTGTATCAATTTTGTTTAGAATGGCAACAATTTAGGTTTCGCTGTATTAACAGCGGTCTCAGCCACGGTTTTCTGTCACGAATGCTTTGTGTTCGTTACAATTCACGGCAGTTTCGTCGGCTTTCTAAATTCCAAGAGAATTTGGCTAGAGAATATCGATGAGTCGTTTGCTCTTGAACGTACCCTTTCTCTCTCAAGTTTATCGATTCTCGAC